CAAAAAAAACAACTCCAAATAAAACACAAAATGACAACGAAGAGACTAAAAACAACCACAATGAGACACAAAAGGATGCAAAATAATCACATAGGGTCATAAAACAGCCGTAGAGACACAAAAAGCAACCAAAAAGACAAAAAAAATGAGCACAAACAGACACAAAATGACCACAAATACATAGAAGACATCCACAAAGAGACATAAGAAGACACAAAGTGATCACAAAGAGACACTAAACGACCACAGAGGGACGCAACATAGCCGCAGAGCCAAAAACACAACTAAAAACTAAACACAAAAAACGACCACGAGGAGCCTAAAAACAACCACAGCGAGACACAAACAGACACACAAACCCAGCGGCGAGGTCCTACCTGTTGGACCCACAACCTGAATGTGGAGCCGTCTCCCTGCGCTGGCCGTCTGTATAAATATTATATCGTTTAATTTTGCTGATGAGCTCTTGGCGGAGCGACCTGTGGAATTCCTAATATCAATCTGCACGCTCTCATGGTTCTACTGCTTCGGCGGGAACCTGCCCCGCGGAGCCTCTTTTATCAGGTAATTAGCAAAGCTGCAATGTGCTGATTTAGAGCCGAAGTGGCAGTCGAGCCGCTCGCTCGCTCGCTCAGCTCGGCCTCAATAATTACTGAGACAAAGAGAGGAGTGGGCCCACGGCGGCGACGCCAAGCCGCCACCTGTTGAATGTTTCATAAGGAGCGAGGTTCTGAGATAAGGTCTGCGGGTCGGGAAACAAACCCAGCAGGACTTTGTTTGTTTCAGAAGTTTTACCAGAACCAGCGATGGGTTTGAAGGTTGGAGCTCATGATGATTAAGAGTTCAAGATGGAGCCAAACCGGACCCAAGCGGTTCCTCGAGGTTCTTCCACTACAAGCTGTAAAACACGTACAGTCGTGACTTGATAATCCGACGCTTAACAATCTGAAAACCTTACGGAACCCATTAAGAACAGCTTCAACATACCGACAGCCTTGGATCCCGACTCAGATGTCACCAATCAGGATAACGGCGTATAATCTGACAATCGGATTTTTTTTGTGAAATCCGATTCTTTTTTTGCGAGCTCGTTCTCGTTTCCGATGAACTTGTGTGTGATCTGTTTGTGGGAGTAAACACTGATGGTAACGGTGGAGCGTATCTTGCGATTTTAAGGGTCACATTTACAACATAATCGCCGTGGTTATTCTAAGCCCCGTCCTCCCGCCGCCGCCGATGGTGGAAACAGAAGTGTGAGCGCTGACTAAACTAGCATCAGCAGCCAAGTACTGCCTGTGTGTTCTGGACACTTCCACCCCGTCAGAGCGCTGCCCCGGGATGGAAGTGTCCCCCAACATCAATTGGGTCCAAATATCCAGAGAGCATAAAGTGCTGTTGGGACCAGCTCTAGCTTGTTGTGTATCAATGACGTGTCGGTCGGATGAGTGCGATCTGGCCGTTCAGACCGAAGTCTTGTATGCTAAAAGATCAGATACGTATCGGACTTAGGACCACTTTGATGTCAACCGACGGTCCGGGCACAATCGCACTGGTCAACTAGACGTGAAATCCAGCGATGCGCAGCGTTCTAACAACACACTAGTTAATATAACAACTATAAACAATAAGTATTAACAACTAATGAGCCTTCAGGCATCAAGCCCTCCTCGTATGTCCACCGCCGTCTTGACAATCCGACATAAAAGTACATTTAGTGTCGGATTATCGAGTCTGGATCTGTGTTCCTAAAGTAAGACATAAAAACATCGTTTGAAGTCGTTCTTTTACTATAAATGCCACTTTCTTTCCAAATAAGACCAGAGGAGAGCCGATGAAGCCGCTTTGTTTTTCTTGGCCGTCCAGCAACTCTCCTTAAGTGCAGCACTTTCCCAGTAAAACCCCAAAAGAAGCGACGTGAGGCCGGGCTTCCAGATCGGCGCCGAGCGACCCGCGATCTGGGATAAGTCGTCCACTTCTCGCAGGATAATTGCTTTCAATCTCCAGTCGGGGATAAGTGATCAGATTTGCATATTAGATGTGCTTCACATCAGAGGACTGGATGGATTTAGCGCCGCTGCTTCACCTCTGAGAGAAACTCTTCATAAAGGTGGATTTCTTTTTTCTTTAAAAAAAAAAAAAAAAAAGCAATCAGCAGGAACAAAGTGTTCCTCAGAGTGCACTGAGCGGATCCACGACACGCATACAGGATGTGGAACGGTGTTGAAT